ACAGCAGGACTAGTAGATTTAGATAAACAGGATATCAAGGAGTTATCGCAGGTTTCTGGTAAGAGCCTTATCAATGACAACCTTCAAGAACTGGCATAACAAGGAATCCATGTAGAACTGGAAAATAGTGATTCTGAAAATGAAGAAGTCAAAAAATTTCTCTACAGATTCCCTTGGTAACAGTTTGGTAACAATAACTAAAATCATTGATCAAATTGTAGCAAATGATCTAGATTTTTGAAAGGAGTGCAAAAGCAAAATGAGGCGTTTTGGATGTCATCTTCTGCTACCGACATTTGCTTAAGGAAAGAAAAAGCGACAAATGAAACTTCATGACTTTATTGCAAAAAAAAAAAAAAACAAGAATTTCAGAAAAGTCAGGACCTTCATCACAAAAAATGAGTTATTAATATAGAAAAAATGAACTAATTAATATATTATTATACATTTCTGTGTGCATATGTTTATGTGTTATTTAACATATATTATTATACAAATTAATGTAAAAATAACTTAAAATTAAAATAAACTTCCATTGTTACTTAAGACTTCCATTGTTGATGGAAGTGTTAAGCCTTAATCCTGTCCCTCTCCCCCGTGGGGAGGAATTTCATAAACTCCCTTCTTAGTGTGCGTTTTCTTGATGTATCCTAACTGTGTACCAAATTTCAACTTTCAAATCCTAACCGTTTGGGCTCTGCACTTATTATTATTATCATCAGCCCTTCTCGATTATATATATAGATTCTGTAATTTAAATAAGATAAACCTGATAACAACCATTTAACGTGATGAAAAACATTTATTTATTTACTAAAAGTTGTTTATATGCTGGAGTTTAAAGGTATATTTGTAGTTTTAAAAGATTATTATTAGATGAGGAGAAATCTGCATTAAATAATATATCAATAAATTTCAATGAAAAGAATAGTTTCTTTTAGATAGCGTTAAATAGGATTTTAACAATTTGGAGGGCTTATCACACCAAGGCCAACCAAAAAATAGACCAGATCTCTTACAAAAATATCTAGTCTAATCACCTTCAAATTTAGGAATAGGTGCATTTCGGGTACAAGTACCCTCATCAGCTTACAAACACATAGTATCAACTTAGTGCACATATACAGTTGACTCCTCTATAACGCAGTAGATACGTTCCGCTTTATAAGAATTTTGCATTGTAGAAATCCTCAAATACATGAGCCAATCACAGCCCGGCACGTGTGCAGTTTACAGACTATGGCTGTTTGAAAGGTTTTCTTCCATAAAATTAATCGATTCTAGATTAATTTCACTCAACATTTCCAAAACATGTATAATGTTTTGGGAATAATCTGTATAAACTATGCTATAAACAAAACATTGTAGAATTACTTACCGAGTGTGCACTGTTCAATCACGCCATTGCTTAAGCTTGTTTTCATCGCGGAGGAGCGCACCAAATGGCAGCCGCATTTTCTGTAAGTTATTTTTCTGCGAAAAATTCGTTGAACTTTGGAGACATCATTAATAGAAATAATTTTTATGACCATTGAATAAGAAATGTTTTTTACACAAGAAATGTATAAAATTACAGTACTGTATTAGACTTAGAGTACCTAATTTAGGCCTATATACTGTACAGACGATATTAAAATAAACTTACCCACCTAAACTCTCCGCAGCGTGTAAATAGTTCAGCTGCTCGTCCACTATTGGTCCAGATTCGACCAATCCTGTCACGACACGAGTCGGTGATGATGTTTTACCGCATTTTACGAGTCTCTTTTAGCGTCTTTATACGAATACGGTCACAATTTTTTCGCCGCGATATATGAATCCGCATTATATGAACCCGCGTTATAGGGGGTCTACTGTAATTATAACACTAACAGTTAACCAATACAAAGGACTTTTTGATATATACAGTGTACTGTATTTACAATATTTAATGCAACCCATATACTAAAAAACTAAAAACTATCAATCTGGATCTATCGATAAGATCTGGTCTATTTTTCAGTCAGCCTTGATGTGATTAGCTCTCCAAATTGCTAAAATCCTATTTATTAGGCTATCTAACTCTATCTAAATTAAAGTTGTGGGCTAAAAGTGTCATTTATTATTAGAATAGTTTCTATAATAAAATTACATCTTATGAAATCAAATTTGCATCAAAATATTTTAATTTATTGAAAACAAATGATAATGTTATTTTTAATGATGGACCCCATATAGAGAAATATTAAACTGCACTATTTAACAAGTAGTTCCATAAACAATTGTGTGCATTTATTTTATAATCAATTAATTTGTGAAAATAGTTTTGTCCATAAAGAATCAAACTTTATTCATATAATAACAACTTTCAAATATCCTACAATTTTATATAAATCACTAATTTCCAAACTTTTTATGTAATAAAGATATATATATATATATATATAAATGGACGTATGTGTCCCTATATTTCACTTTTCAGCCAAAACTACACATCGCACATGAATGGTGTTTGTATGTGGTAGTAGCCCCAAGTCTCCATTCGTGCACTATGGTGGTTGCGTCCTGATAGCTATAAGGGTACGGGAGATATGGGGGCTTAAAGTGGTTGACTTCGAAGATTTTCTATTTTGATTTTAAAAATGTTCGAACCGTTTTAAATTCGAATTTAATTCAAATTGGTTCGATTATAGAACAATTGTAAACATTCCAGAAAATTGATCAAATTGAAAATAGTTCGTTTGACTGGACGTAAAAATTCTCTAATTAGTCTGGAAATGGGGACCTAATTCTTGCATTCTGTGCTATAAAGGTGTGGAAGATATGGGGATGAAAGTGGTTGACTTCGAAGATGTGTAACAATGGAAGTGTCAACAATGGAAGTGTTAACAATGGAAGTGTTGAGTAACAAAGGAAGTGTTAATATAAAGCAGCATGCAAGATTTACAGGCGGTTTTTTGCGGGAAATCGAACATATTTTTAGACTCATGTAAAAATTCTCTAATTAGTCTGGAAACGGGGGACCTAATTCTTGCATTCTGTGAAAATGGGTAAGATTGGCTATAATGTAATTATCTTAATATTCACTATCATTACTTTTTGCCCAGAGAAGCGGGTCCTTGCAGCTAGTATTTAATTACATTGTATCAAGCATGTAATTAACTACAGTACAAAAATAGACAGTTATTCCAAAGTAAATAAACTTTAGTAAAACTTTCAAGCATGCAATATTTTATTAAGTTTTGCAATATTTGTACAATGAAAATGAAAGAAAATTCTGCAAATCTTTAGATGATTTAGTTGCTTTTGTGCTCATTAAAACATGTATTTGAGCTTTTCTGTAAGAGAGAGAGAAAGAAAGAGAGAGAGAGAGAGTTGTTGTTTTGAAATTTTTATTTGGGATTTCTTTTTTCTTTTGTAGATAAAAGTATAACCACAATTATAAAATTACTTAAAGCAATTTAAATCATTTAATATCAGGTATAATAATATGACGTTAAATGGCAAAGCATTTAAAATTAAATGCTTTGCCATTTAATTTTAAATGCTATGATTTGAATAGATCTATACTATAAATGAACCGATTCCAAATGTTCTTCTGACACATTCACTCATATGTTCTCATATCTACTTCCTACCGTTTTGCATCATTTGAATATGACAAATGATGTAAACTGATGTTTTTACTAAGTGCCAGACAAGTAAGAGATTTGGTTTTATTTTAAATTAAATATGAATATGCAAGATGGTAAATTTTGATAACATTGTGTAAAAATTAAGACTCACTCATCAAATGCAGAAACTATAAATAATCTCTACCTTTGAAGAACAGGCTAAGCATTGAGACTGGATTATATGTGGTTTTTTTAATAAAACAAAATGCAATATTACCTGTTCACTGACTTTCTTATTTTTAATTTGCTTATGATAATATTGAACTGTTTAAAAATCAAAATGCAAACATATATTTGTGTTTTTAAATGAAATCATTTAGGGGTACCAAATATTTTAGGTATGTCTGTCCTGATATGGTGTGAACATTGTATTGTTTTGAAATAATGTGAACTTTCTACATATTTTATCTAAAATGTAATTCCTATAAGTTTTGCTATTCATAGTTTGATTTTGAATAATAACCATGAACTCTTCTCTCTTACCAAAGAGGATCCATGTCAGCTAGCAATTTGACACAGTTTTGTCTATTATTATTGTTGTTCATTTCTGAAATTAAAATAAACATTCAGTCTATTTTTTAAAATAAATTTTTCTAATAACCTAAATATTTTTGAAATTAAATATTTTATCTTAGGAAGAACATTTTAAAAAATTATTCTTAAAAATTTAACTCTGAATATATTAATGTAATTAAAAAATGATTTCTTTGAAAAAAACAGGATGAATGTTTATTTTATTTAGATCTACAATTAGAGTCACTTTTTGCAAGTTGTTGTAATTTCTAATTTTCAATCTAATAACTATGATTCATATTTATGAATACCTAAACCACTTTACATATTTATGAATATTTAAATAGTATAGAAATTCTATCCATAAAATTTAATATATACCTTCTGGGAATTATGCATTTAAAACTTTAGTTTGAATTCTAAATCTTTTTTGGAAAATGAAACAATATTTGCTAATCCATAAAAATTTTTATGAGAAAGCAAATTCTCTCTAATATCATCTCATTTTAAAAAATTACCAAAAATCAGAGATAAGTTTATTATTTATAGTTAATAAACTGTTTTAAAAATTTCATAGAATTTTATATACTTAAATTTATCATAAAATAAATTTAAGTATATAAAACATCAAAACTTAGCATAACTTAAAGATTTAAGAATAATTAAGATAGAAGTAACATCTATTCATTATTTTAATTTTAAATCTATAATTTTCTTAATGTCGAATTTAAAAACTTTGAATATTACTTATTGTGTGAATATTATTAATTTCATTTTATATATTTATGAATATTTAATAATACAGAAATTTTATTCATAAAATTTAACACATACCTTCTGGGAATAAGTTTTTCATCAATGAATGATTACAAACATAAAGTGCTTGAGATATATCTCTATGTAGAAAATCATTATTCTTATCAATAAAACCAACAACAGAATATGTAACCTTGAGAATAAAAAAATTTTCATTACATTAATATATCAAGCTTCAAACAAAATTAATATAAAAATTATATAAGAGTTAACCAAAAAATTATGCAACAGGTTTTATTTCATTATCAATATTTATTAGAATATTCTGTAAAACAGATTGCTAATTGAATCTGTGAACACCATAACTATTTTTCAAAATGCAGTGGTGCCTCATACTTTGAATTTAATTTATTCCAGGAACCCACTCAAACTCTGAATTGTTCAAAGTCTGAATCAATTTTTCACATTAGAAATAATGGAAAGTGAATTAATTGCTGACCCTAAACAATACCCATTTCTTTATGCGATATGCTTCTTGTCTAGTCTTATGCTCAAATATACGAGCTCCAAGATGGTTTTTTTTCTTTTCCGCTAGACTTATTACACCATCAATGAAACGGAGGACAAACTTTAGAAAGACTTTTTATTTATTTGAGTATGCATTTTGGATAATTATATCCCTTTTCAACTCTTGTGTTACAAATGGATTGTGAGAAATGCAGGAGTTGTGATATTAGATAAAATACAGATGGTGATTATTGATTAACAGGTATAAGAGTGAACAGGACAGCCTGGTACATAGTGTTGGGAAAAACATCACCAGTATACACAACACAATGTTGAGTTAATATTAAGAAAATTGGGAACCTTGATCTTGGTTACAGTAAGGGTAATGGAACCAGTATGATGAAGTGAGGTTAGTGCACCATTAAAATAAAGGGAACAGAAAAGCTTTTACCCATTTCAAATAGAATACCCATTTCAATAAACAGCAAATACACATAATTTAATGTAAAAACAACACATTAAAAGCCCTAAATATTAAATTAAAACATTAAAACAATAAATAAAAATACATAAATACTGTAAAATAAAATAAAAATTGCATTCACTGTATTTAATGAGGAGTGGTGATGTCCTGTTTCTTAACGTCACTATGTAGCTGCTTGGCTTTCACACAATCCTCTTGGAGATGATATCACCGGTCATTTGTCATTTATCCACACTAGGAGGAGTTTTTTAGTCTCCTCAATAATATGTGATCTCTGATGGTCAACATTTTCACATGTTTAGCCACATTTGTTGCTTTTACTGCTCCCTTGTTCTTAAGAATTGTGTACACAGTTGACTTTGGCATCTTAAACTTGACTGCCAGATCCACCTTATGTGTATTGTTTTCATGCGTTAGAATAAGTTCTTTTTCATCTTAATTGTTGATACTACAACCTTCCTCTTTGGCTTCATTCAAAAATAACGTAAAAAAAAAGTCACTGAAAATATACAAGTGTAATGCAAAAGATACTTTCACAGCAAAAGCAAGAGATGACTTATGAATGACAGATGGCATTTACACAATAAGTGCATTTTTCAAAAGTCTAGAAGCATCATTCAAACTCTGGGTTTGAATTTCTCTCAAATTTAGTATTCAAACTCTGATGGTCAAAGTTAGTGTTGTTGAACATATGAAATACCCTTGTAGTCTCTTTTCAAATCTATGTCCTTATGCTAAAAATGTAAGAATATGTATGCCCACAAAAATATATTTAATAATCTTATCATAAATGAAATTATTATGAATTACTTTATTACGAATTGGTGCTTAACAAGCTTATAAATGGAGTCTGTATGCCCTCACAGTATCATTCAGTAGATTGCTATCATAACATTCTCTCTCCTACAGATACTATTTCATCATTGTCTTCAAACTTATTCTGAAAATTGTATATTTCAATCCTTCTAAAGTTGGTACTTGTGGAGAGTGAAATCTGGCCATTCTGGAACAATAAAAAAATAATTCTAACAGATATGTTGCCAAGTAAATTAAACAATAAAATTTGATATCTACTTGAAACTCTGGTGACAGCCAGAGATCTGAAAGTCCAATTGGCAAATACTGTCCAAAAACAGAGTTGGTTGGCAACACTTGGTTTGCAGCATGAAAAATTCACTCTATTGTTCGTGTATAGCCCAGTGACATGTGGTGACATTTGATGATAGGGAAGCTGTGCTGACTCTGGATAAATCATTGTGGAAGAACGCCGATTGGGGGGAAAAATCTTTTATTTCCCTACCGTTGGGATGGTCTAAGGCCTACGCGTATGTGGGTGGCGGTTTTTAAAGGCAGCAAAGACAAGTGTTTCACAGAGGTAAACCGTTTATTCCGGATGATAATGCTTACATAAAGTCTCTCGTTGACAAAATCCTGTGTTGTTGGGAAATTTCGATTCTGGTACCGGTCTTGTGTCGTCGGTAATTGCGGCAGCGATCTTGTCCAGCGTCGTAGGGGCCCCTTTGCCAGTGTTGAGAGAAAAAAGTTCAAAGTCTCTAACGTCGGTGCACAAAAAGAAGAACAGAGGTACAAAAATGAGCGGAGATATACGAACACAACAGAAGTCTAGATGGGAGTCTTGGTGGAAGTCTTGTTGTCCTTGAATTTTGCGTTTTTATAGAGTTTTTGCGATCAGCTTTTTACTAATTGGATAGACCTTATATCACCGTTTTCCAATTGGTCATCCACCTGTCTCCAGGTGTAAATGGAGCTTCGTAAAGTTTGTGGAAAAGGTCGGCTGGAGATGGTTTATCTGACACCATCTTTTCGAATCTGATCGCATTTAATTGTTGACTATGACACCTACGCTCATTTTGACATTTTTTCTAGTTTTGTTTTGCTTTCTAAACTACGTCTTAACTTTAATATTTTAAATTTTCTTCTTTTATATCTAAAATTTTGTTTTTCCCGTTATTCTTTATGAGCGCTGATGTCAAAGTCGGGTATCGCCGATTCGATACTTATATAATTTGCTTTCTTGACGATTTAACTTAACAAACTTTTTTTTTTTCTTTATATCTTTCCCTTTTGCGGGGGCTATTTCCGGGGCCTCACACAGATCGTGCCGGCGCT